CACTAAGGGGAAACCTAAAGCTGTCGGTAAGGCAGCTGAGGGGGAGGATAAGGCTGGTGCAGCTGCCTCTACACAACATCGTTACCCCCAACGTGACCGTCATCCGCCCCAGCGACTCAACCTTGCTGTTAACGTATCGGACGTCAAAATCCCGAGCACCTACGAGGAAGCGATGGCCTCTCCGGAACGGGACAAATGGCAGGAGGCGATGGCCGAAGAAATCGGATCTATCCACGCATTAGATACGTGGGAGCTGAAGGTACCGCCGCCTGGGGTGAAACCGATTCCGGTGAAGTGGGTGTACGACGTGAAGCGGGGTGTAGACGGACAAGTGGAACGATACAAAGCCCGGTTGGTAGCAAAGGGCTATAAGCAGAAGGAAGGTGTTGACTTCAATGAGGTATTCGCGCCTGGTAGCAATCAGGTGACGTTGCGTACATTCCTGGCGAAGGCTGCGGCTGAAGGATTTGAGGTACACCACCTAGATGTGCGCACTGCGTTCCTCAACGGGACGCTGGAGGAGGTGATTTATTGTGACCAACCGCCTGGTTTTGAAACGGGTGGCGCAGGTATGAAGTGTCTGTTGCGGAAAGCGTTGTACGGTTTACGTCAGGCAGGCAGAGCTTGGCACCAGAAGTTGCGGGAAACGCTCGAGGCCATTGGTTTTAAGGTTTCTGATGCGGATCCCAGCTTCTTTATGCTGGAAGAGCAGGCATTTGTTGTGTGGCTATACGCTCACGTAGACGACTTGCTAGTCGCGAGCAACAAAAGCGAGGAAATAGCCCGTATAAAGCAAGAGTTGAAGGCTGAGTTTGACCTCCGTGATTTGGGGGAGGTGTCGTTCTTTTTGGGTATGGAGATCAGTCGGAGCAAGGAGCTAGGCGAGGTCAAAATCTCGCAGCAGCGGTATACGGCCGAATTGTTGGCCAAGTTCGGGATGGAGGATGCAGTTCCTAAGTCGGTTCCTATGACGCCAAGTCTAGTTTTGAGCCGTACTAGTGATATCGATCAGGTATTGTTGGATGCAACGCGCTACCGAGAGTTAATTGGTGGTTTGATGTATCTGGCAGTGTGCACGCGTCCTGATATCGCGCATGCTGTGTTTAAGTTAGCGCGGTATATGTCTGAGCCGGCGAAGGCTCACTGGGAGGCTGCTAAGGATATCCTGAGATATCTGAAGGGGACTGCGAGTTTCGGTTTATGTTTTGCCAGGGACAGCAAGGCAATTGAGGGTTATGCCGATGCGGATTGGGCAGTGGATCGAGACAACCGCCGTTCGACAACTGGATATGCCTTTATCCTTGGCGGTGGAGCCGTCAGCTGGAAGAGTCGGTTGCAACCGACTGTAGCAGCATCGACTGTGGAGGCCGAGTATATGGCGGCGTCCCTAGCTACCCGCGAAGCGCTCTGGCTGAGGAAACTTCTGCCCGAGTTTGGGTGTGAGATCGACGTGATGCGTATCTGGGGTGACAACCAGGGAGCATTAAGTCTGATAAAGAATCCGATTGTTTCGGAACGTGCGAAGCACATCGATGTGATCCATCATTTTGTGCGTGAGAGGGTATCTATGGGGCAGGTGAAGTTTGAGTACTGTCCCACTACCAGCATGGTAGCGGATATCCTCACGAAGCCGTTACCGGAAGGGAAGTTCGTGCAGTTTCGAGAAGGGCTGGGTGTTCGTTGAGTTGAATTCGCCCGAGTGTTCCGTCCGAGGGGGAGTGTTGACTTCCGGCCAGAACACTAACGGCTGTACGACAGATAAGATGGAATGTTTGGTATAAAGGAGATGATGTTTTGACTGAAAGCTTGTTCTGTGATACCTGTAACGGTTAAGGTTGGCTTTACCTACACAGTTCCACTCGCCTATATCTTAACAGGGTACGCCGCCATCCCCAGGAAACGACATGATATTTTGAGTGCAAAAAAATCTATCTACCTACCCAAGCAGCGGTAATGACGAATGTATGTGCCACTTCCACTCCACGCTATCGGCAGACGAAGCACCTTGGGCGTAGACACTCATGTTTCTTGTGCGCTCGTTCAGCTTTGCTGATTCTGCAGTGACATGGTTCTGAAGACTCAACTGGTAGGGAGTTCCATGTGGGTTGTGGGCAGGGGTGTCGGAGTGTGGTTCTTGCGGAGCCGCATCAGCGACCCGCTGCTCGAAAAAGCAGCGCTCTGCGTCTTGCGCTTGGAGACCGACTCACCAGCTCTTACGTTCCTTAACTCCACTTATGCAAGTTGGTTGCCTAATACACGAAAACACTATTACCGATACCTCCTATATCAAAGCTCTGCCGCACATGCGCAACCTTAAAGACAGTCAGTAGCAGGCTTGTACAAAGTTATATATTTATACTCTGTTTCTGCTCGTGCCTAACTGCTGCGATCGCTTGACGAACGAACGGCAGGCCGCTGCAGCTGGTAGCTTCAGAAATGGGGCTCCGTCCGGGGATACCCTCAACAATACAGCTGTAAATAAGTAGTAGGAGAGTAATGTTAAGGTTGAGCTTACGCGGTGTTATGGTTAAATGGCGGTGTTCTGGCTATTCCCACCCCGCTTCATGCCAGGTTCTGGCCAGAAGCCAGCAACGGGCATGCTCGTCACGTGGCGAATTATAGCATACAATCCTTATCGTTCTCATACTACAGCTCCTTTAGCCTGATGCTTTGTGTCTAACAGGGCGCGCTCTTACACTGACTTATTCCCGCCAGCTCACCGTGCCAGGTTGTTTCCACTACCGTACTGCCACGATTCTTTTGTGATACGTGTTTTGGGGAAGGCCCAAAATCAACGCTGAAATTATTTTGATGATATGCAATTTTTGGGACGGTCACGAGAAAAATCTACAGTTGTGATACACTTTTGGTGACGGCTCCAGGGCGTCCCGCGGGCGTGCTCACGCTTCGCGCGCTTACGCTTCAGCGTCTACTACCGCCAAGCTGCTATCAAAGTCCGAACAGCGCGGAAAGGCTGCGCATTAAGTCTTAGAAACGACAAATAGATAAAGGCTAGTAAGCTTAAGCTGTTTAGGCGCCGTCTTCTGGAGGGCTTTTACTGTTGGTCGATACCGTTAACACGGTGTACGACACATTTGTGACAGCCAGTTTGGTGATGCCCATAAAATTTTGCCTAAGACCTTTTTCCACTGCTATGCATTTGGGGACGCCATACCAATTGCGTGTCACCAAAGAATCGTATCAGTACGGTAGGCCGAACACTAACACTATGTTCGAATGTTCTTCGTCCTGGACTCGTCTCTCACCGTTCTAAATGCATATATTGATATAACTAATGATAGAAATAATTATAAATCAAACAAATTGGAGGTTGGCGCACTCCTGGCGGAAAACCGTAAGGCCTAGTGGAAACACCCGGAGGGTATCACCCAGGGTTCGTCATCTGTCATCTGGGGATGGGGTCCTGGCCGGCATCTGCCTTCCGCGCTCATTTAAGTATGAGGAAACAATATTTAACTAAGTTCACATGGTATCTAGATATCGCGGGGACCCCCCCTTGTCTCATCTAGCTCAGCCCCGAGCCTCATCTTGACCTCCTGACAACCCCCGTCAGCCTCATCTAGCTGTCCCGACGCCTCATCTAGCTGCCAGGAAAGGGGCCCCGCGCGCGCATCTGACTGAAATTTAAATACCGTTTCATGTCCTATATTAATTTGGTTGTAAGTTGACTGGCATCCAGATACATTTTGTGAAAGCCTGCTGGACGCATGGACATGACGATCAACTGATGGCGACAGCTGACGGGAGCGCTTTTCAGGTTTAATATGTTCATATTTATGTTCGCCCACCGACAGGTACACCGGCCGTACCGTGGGCCACCTGGCGTTGACCGCAGGTCACCCATACTCATACATCCACAATCATCACTTCCGCTCACATCCAGCAACCGAGGTCGATAGCTTGCCGGCGCCGCCCTGCGCCGCGGTAGTGCAATCACAGCACCGACTTGCACCGTTCATCGCCATTGCCGTACAGCTTTTCAAAGATAGACAGACGAACAGCATTACACCCCGGCCCATCGTGAGCATGAACAAGCGTATATATAACAGCTCTGGCAGTGAGAGCGGAGGTAGGTTACAGACCGGTGTGGATCTGTGTCATCACAGTAGCAGGGCAAACGAGGCCCTGTTCTTACCGCAGGTGTATATGTAGGACCAAAGCAATGCATATACGCCATGAACAAATGGAAGCAAGGGTTGTCTTCCGGGCTTTTCCCCGGGAATCTGGGAAGTACCAATTAGTCCACGGCGGCTGAGTGTCGGATGGCAGGCGCACAGTGGTAACTACCGTGTCATCAGATAGCACCCACTACTGTGTTGACCAACTCGAAGAAAATGTGTGTATACGCGTGTGTACGAGCATTGATCAGAGCGTGAATGCGTGTCAGTATTGGCTCCGTCGCTTGGAGAGACACGTGTACATTAACCCCCCGTTTGGATTGCGTTCTGGCGATAGCCTTCAGGGCCTGTTTTTTCGGCGTTGTGTCGAGGAGTATGAGGCCCGCCGTATCAGGCAGGCAGTGCTTCTCCTCAAGGCAGCGGTGGGCTATGCGTGGTTCAATGCAGTGCTGAAATGGCCGCTATGTTTTCTGCGTGAACGTGTGTCCTTTGTACGGGGGACACGTAATAGGGGTTCAAGTGTGCAGGACTCAGGTCTGTCCTGGGGGCCGTGTGTAGGAAACCCGCACGGCAGCGTTGTGGTTTACGTAGGCCCTGATGTTAAACGGTTTGCGTCTGTTGTTGGGCGGATGGGGAACATTCCCGGTGCGACGTCCTGGTGTATGCCTCGTATGGATGATGAAACTGTTGTTGTTTAGCCCAAGATACCGACACAATTTGTCAAAAACCTGTACCATACAGTTACCTAGACATTTGTCTGTAAGCGATGCACGCATCGTGGAAACATTTTTTTGTGGTAGTCAGTGGTTAAGTACGACACGTTGCATCGAACTGACAACCTGCTGAACCGATGTGAAGCCTGGGCCAGCGGTCCACTTTGTAACCTCTCAAAAAAAGATGGGGCGCTTCCTGGCGCTTAGGGGCGTTTCCGCCGGGGCCACCAGCGGCGGCGTGGCGTTCGTTTGGGCGGGTCGGCCCATGCATAGCGATTGGAATTATACTGATACCATCGTGTACACCGAAGCATGGGCGAGTATGAGACTCTGTAAGCGTTTTTTGCGAGAAGCCCCGCGCGCATCTCAGTACATAAGGAAGCGTAACTAGGTAAATGTAGAGCACCCAAATTGCATATCGAGATATGCCATACATTCATCCAGGTGAAATTTCGGACCCCGCGAACCCTCATCTGGCAGCCACCGAGCCTCATCTAGCTGTCCCGAAGGCGGCCGGGCGCTTCATCTAGCTGCCGTCTTTCCTCATCCAGCTGGCCAGAGACCCCCCCTTCAACTTCATTTAGATACTGAGGGACTGACACTTAGATATAAAAGGACACCCTTGTCCCGATATTTATATGCCGTTGCGCTGGTAGCTTGCGCCAGGACCCCAGCCTCATCTTCCCGCTGTTCATACCCTCCTGATAGGGGCCGTTTGCGGATGGGGGCACATAACAGTGAATCTTCTCTTTTTCCGTACGTCAGGTGGAGAAGAAGAGTAGATATACTTGGATATTTACAATTTTAACAAGTGCCGCGCGCAGTGAGAACGCCCTTAATCGTCGGGTGTACGTACGTATGCACGTACGTTGTCGCGCACATAAATTTATGTCCCCTCCAATGCGCGGTACGTGGCTCTACCTGAGTGTATAAACCTGCCTCAAATCAGCGATACCTGCCTTAGGGTCGAGAAATCCCCTCCTCCACACGGGAGGAGGGTCTTGTTGGTGCAGTAATAGAAGTAGTAACAGCAGTGGAGCCCGATCGTGTGCAGGGCCCTAAAACGAGTGTCAACCGCCAACAACCAACTGCTAAGCGTGTAACACTGGGCGGTCAAAAATACCCACAGCCTCACTGGCCACATCGTCTCAGCTAGCTCACGGTCGACGCCCAGAAAAGGACGCGAGACATACAAGATTCTAGTTGTCGAGTCCAAGGCTAGACATCACAGAGGAGTCTCGACATGCAACAGACATAGATAGGAACAAACAGGAGCGGGTGGTTAGAGATTATGTTAGGGGGGCCAGCAGTTGCGCATGCGCATATGTAACCATCCGATAATTAACCATCTGATGTATACCAGCTAAAACCGCCGTAGAAACCACCAGACTCATTTTCACGATACGAACGATATTTTTCATAAATATGGTGTGATCAAGTACTCATATTAAATATTTATCAGCAGCTCTGCAATAACGCCCGCGTCCTCACGCTTTTTCGGCAAAATTTTTGTATTCATCGAAACGCCGCGTAACCTGCTGCTGCATGTTGTAGAAAAGGAAAAAGGCCCGGAACCCGTTGGGTCGTGCGCAAGGCGAACCCCTCTCTCGTTCCATAGGCGCGGCCGTATATGGTGTAATTTACTGATCACCCTCGCTCCCTCTGCTCTATCTAACAACAATAGCATGCATGTGCGCCGGGCGGACAAAATGCCCTTACTGCATAATCCGCACGCAAACAAAAAATATATTTTTTTTGTAAGACGCCAGAAATATCAGTGGCTGGTGATAAGGACCTACGACGAGCGACTATTTCAAGACGTCAACAAGCGATTTGGTGCAACTTCTGGCCACTTCGCGGAATGACCTATGTACATATTTTCAATGTATTGTATATTCCGGCTTCGCATCCCTTCCTTGCATAATTTAAAACGACTCCAGAGGTCCTCCATGGGACGAGACAAACCGAAAAACATCTCACGTGCTATGCATGACCTCAGATGGAAACTGAATACGGCACGCCGCGCATGGTAACGCCCGCAGGCGAGCCCGGCAACAGTAGCGTGTACGGCAGCGGGCGGGCGGTGTCACCCAGCGCCAGCCTGAACCGGGCCCAGTTCTTCGAATCCGCGTTCCGCATTTCAATGGTTTGCTCAAGGCGCTTCATGTCCTCGATGAAGTCCTGGTTCGCCACGCAAGCATCAGGGTCCTGTGGGTAGGGGAAATCCAGGATTCTCTCAGAGCTCCACCGGCCTTATTGTGAGGTAGTACCAGACACAGCGATCATATCAGTACCCCTGCCAACTCACTAGAGCTCTCGGCAGGGTTAAACAGGGCCAAACAGAACATAACGGCAACAGCCTGAGCTAAGCAGGCCTTAACGGCCTGTTTGGCACTGTTGGAAGCCCAGGGGGTTGGTACGGTACGGTACTTATCGTACGACACACATGCCACCGACAATAAACAAAGTATATTCTAATTTATTTTGACGACTAGCAGCTACAAGTATCGGGTTGCGAGCTTGCAGCTGGGCAGTAAAAATAGCGGTAGTAGCAATTACCGTGGCAGGAGACACAGACGTGTGTCTGCGAGCAGTGGCATGGATGGCGTCCTACTAGGCTCAGGGCCCCTCTATCTCCGGACTTCACAGCTCACCTAGTCATCCACGTCCTCTGGGTTCTACGCATCGTAAATAGGCGTGGAAACTTACGGCGTAATAGACTTTTTTAGTTACCTTGGTGCTGGTATAGATCTACTTAGTTGTGGCTATGTTGAGGTGCGTTTTCGAACTTCGAAGCAAGGTTTTCGCGGCAAATCGGACAGTTTCATCTTCCATTAATTGCTCTAGAATGGATGTTAGATGATTATATGTTGCTTTGGAGGAGCGGTGGGCTTGGAGGCGCGGTGGCGTGTGGACATCTGACTTCCGGTGAGGACAGGCAAAATGGACACCGTAATTGACGTTACGCCGTCACACCGAAAAATTACGGTCGTTTTTGGGCCCTACCGTAATTTACCGTAACCGAAAAGCGTAAGGCGTAAAACCGTAAAGCGTAAGTTCCCACCCCTAATCGTAAATTCGCCTCAGGTCTTCCCCCTCCCACCCTCCCCCCTTCTTTAGCCTCATCATCCGCAGCTGATGTGGAGGCCTACCAGGGGAAGCTGCTTCCCTGTTGTTCCTAAAACCTACCTACAAGCATTCCTCCCACCCAAATTAACACACGCACATATACACACACAAATCCTCACCACCAGATGCGGGTTCATTTCGTCGAGGGTCTGCTCATCCCGGGCGTGAGTCGACAACAGCTTGACAGTAGCGGCGACCTGTACCCAGGGATTACGTGAGGAGCACGACGAGCATTGTGGGGTTGTGGGAACGATAATGTGGCGCGGTACGGGTGATGTGCGCTCGTGTGTGTGTATTATTCTTCACACCCCCCGGAGTTGCGTTACTAGTTAGCCAGTTCAGGAGGCCTAAGCTGAGGCGAGGGCGCAAGCACCCGCCTAGGGCTGTATGTCTGAGATAGGTAGCTCATCTTACACTATTATCCTAAAACGCTCAAAACATGAGAAGAAGTATTGAAAGGGGGGATAGATGAGGGGGGAATGACACAGCTGCGAGGCCTGTGTAGGGATGTAGTGTGAACGGAACAAGCAAACCGCCCTAGAAAGCTGTGTTTGAGAAAACAACCTCGGCGTCTGAAGCAGCCTCCCTCAAAACCAATTGCTGCCATGGGCGGGATGGGGGGATATACTGATTAATGCAGTAAATATAGGGATATGGGTCGGCGAATTAGTCGTTCGCTGAAGGTGGACAGCTAACCGCTAAATGCATTAGCCACAGGCCTTTTAGCTCCTCTACCAGCACATCATGTATACACGCACACACATACAGATACGCATACATAAACACATACACACGCAAGCACACAATCAAGAAATCTAAAGCAGCACACAAAACTAATTAGGGTCGGTGTACATCATCCGTTGCCGTACAGTTTCAAACTTCGTACCGTGGCGGCGGTGAACGGGTCGGAAAGGTAGGTCATGATAATGGCTTCCTGCTTCTCCCCGACAGGCGCCCGTGTCAGCTTCTGCGAAACCGTTTGAAGGGGGAATTACAGGAGGCGCGTTGGGAATGCTGCTATTTGATGGTTCTCTAGGAAGTATTGCTTTTGAGGCTTTTCCAAGGACGATGTGCAAGTCTGCAGGGATTCAGGCTTTACGGAGTTCAGAGCCCAGGGTTACGACTTGCCGTACACCACCCGCCTTTCACATCCCCCTGGTTCCCATCTCGGCGTTCACCTCACAAGCTTGAGGTAGGATGGTGCTATAGGCGATCTGGCGGCCCTTGAACCCTTGGCTCGTATTGAGCAGTTTGCAGGTACGGGCAACGCACCCCACGACCATATAAAACACACACACACAAGCTCATAAGATGGATGGAAGCACGTAAATGCGATGACCCCAGATCACCTCCTCCTCTCTCCCTAACCAATGAAAACCCCACCTTTTCCAAGACCCGCTTCCACAGAGCCCCTCTCCCCATTTACCTCCCAGGACTTATCCCCAGGCGCCGGCATGGGCTTCCGCACCAATGATGGTGCATTGAGGACGAAGCTCGTGTAGTCGTACTGCCCGAAGTTGACCGCCGCATGGTGGCCCGATCCCAGCCAGGCAATGGTGGCGAGCACCCGTACGAGTTGCTGTACGGAAGTGATGTTGCCCTCGAAACCCCAAAGCTGTTCCTCGCCACCGGGGCGGAGTCCGAACTCCATAAGGTCCCCGTGGCCCACGGTCTGTGTGTGTATGTATGTGTGTATGTGTGTTTTGTGGAAGGGAAGTACGAAATTAAGAGGACTGTTAAGAGAAAAGGAGTTTGGGGCATGGGCGGGATAGGGGGGAATGCGAATACGACGCGCGTGGAAAGGCGAGTGTGTGAAGATGACAAATACATACACCTGTCACCATGCATGACCGTACCGACTTGCAGTACATCCTTCCGCAGCGCCACACAACCCAAAACTCACAGGCGCGTGTTTGAACTATTACTTAAGGGGTGCGAAAACCCCGGGAGCCCCGGGTGGTTTCCCCCTCGTTCTCACCCCCCAGGCCCAACTAAGCCGACTACTTAAAACCGCCCCTAAAACCCTAAAACCCTAGAACCCTAAAACTCACCTTGACCTCGGACCACCATTCCTTCAGCTCCGCGTCGTTCTCTACATCCTCGTCACTTTTGTAGTACAGCCTCAGGTACTTGTCGAAGTACGACGTCAGGGCGTTCCACACATCCAAGCCATCCGTGGCGTACGGGTAATCAAGCCAGGGCTTGCCGTTCGCGTCCACCATGCCCCTGCGTGGGTTAGGGATGAGAGTCCCAAACAGAAGCAGGGGAGAACACGTGTCGAGGGTTTGCCGCCTCTTGCTGATTCACAGTAACTTAGGGTTGCGGGGGAGCGGTTGGGACATGCAGCCGATGACGTCACCTTGGACAGTGTGTACTAATACGACTGTAAGAGCGAATGGAGCTTACGCGAGTACCAAAAACGCTAATAGCATTCCATCCGGCGAACCAATCAGCGTATTCATAAGTAATATACGACGAGGAACACACCAGCTTAATCAGGCAATTTAAAGTAAGTTTACGCCAACCCTTTAAGAACCGTTGGATTGTTCCAGCGAGGGAGGAGAGGGGTAAATCTTTGGACACGTTTATTTCTAAGGTGAGATAGCTGGCTCTCCTGTGGTGCTGTAACACCCTGCACATCTAACATCGCGCTCATCTAAGCAGTGCTCCCCAAGCCCGATCCCAGGCTCTCCCCTTCCTATCCCCTTCGCCCATTTTCCCAGGAAAACCGACACACGCACTCACCGGGTCTTGAGATCCTCCGGAAGGGCCTCCGTGGCGAAGTTCCAGTCCTTGCCGTACACTATGGACGATAGGCGCATGGCATAAGGCCCCGCAGAAAAGGTCTTCTCGATGACACCGCCCGCATTGATAAGGCTCGCGCGTGCATTGCGATTGATGTTCACAGTGTAGCGGAAGTGCGGCAGCATCAGCTTGTAAACCTGGGTGTGTGGGAGGGAGTCGGGTTGCAAGAGAATCAGGAAGGGAAGGACCTGAAAAAACGGGTGGAGGGGAAGAAATCAAAAATCATCTTGGGTTTAAGGGTTTTAGGCTCGGCACCTTTAGATCAAAGTATACCTGACAACAGTGCAATTATGTATATACGTTGCATAACATACATTTAGTTGCACAACTCATATCTCCAGGTAATCTAGAATGCCAGCGTCTAGGTGGAAGAGTGAGACGTGCTGAGGCAATAGTCGCTTGGTACGTGTTTTCCTCTGGCAATACTACAAGACCTCGCACTCATTAGACACAATATTGCCGTATACCGTACAATTTTTACATTATGCCGTACCGGATGCATGGCGCTGATCTGTCGCCGTAGGGCGATATAGAAGGGCTCCAACACGCAGTGGGTTCGGAGCCAGTGGCTAATCAGCTGCAGGGAAGAGTTTCAGGGTTTTAGGGTTTTAGGGTTACATACATGGGGTTTAGGCCCTATGAAGGGGGGGCCTAGTAACAAAATGGCCAGCAACTGCAAATTGCAAGAAGCGCAACATCCTTCCCCTCCCATCCAGAACTTCTACTCTCATATCCCCATTTCGATTCACAATGCCACATCCACGATTCAACAGACGGCATATGCATGCACACAAGACAGCATGACATACATGCGATAGCCCCTTAACACAAAGGGAGGCAGATCACGTGCGTAAGCCCACCTGATGGAAGGAAGAGTCCAGCGACTTGAAAATCATCTTGGCCAACCGCCACACTGCCTCCGTGGAGGGGTCGGCGGAGAGTTGCGAGCGGGAGTAAACATGTCCGAAAGAGGGCGCCGGGCCGGGCTGCTCCTTATGGGCTAGCTCAATGGCCACTGGGATGAGCCCCACGTCGTTGCCCTCAGCATCCCTGGATATTTCGGAGCGTGGGGAAGTTTACTGGTTACTGGTTAGGGTAACTGGACTAGGGAGGCCAGGAAGTGGGTGACTGAGGGGGTGAGCGGGTTTCCGATTAGGAAGAGTTGGTTTTGGTTTGCATGTATATGGAAGATGTAAATGGTTTGCAAATGGTTAGCATGCTTATTTCTTTATACGCTAGCGGCAAGTTGGCGTGGTGGATGGCGACGCGTGTTGCCGCGGTTTGCTGTTACTTGCTGCGGGGTTTAGTGAATGAACGACAAGGGATTGATGCCAGGTACGTGGGATTTTGTCCTTGCAAGGCGGGTTCATTGGATGGGGGCCTGTCCCAGTTGGGTGTGTAGGTTGCGACGGTTCTAGGAGGGCTCGCTCTAGAGTGTACGGCACCCGCCCACTTGCCGCTCACTTTTTGAGGTAGAGGATGGCGCGGCCGGCATGCTGTACGGCCTGGCCCTCGTCGGTCCGGCCCAGAAAGAATTGGAGCAGCTTGCCCAACCACCCCGTAGGCTTCACATCAATCTTGGCAGGGTCTTTGTCAGCCAACGCCCAGATGGCCGACAGATCCCAATAGTCGATGTAGTACAGCCGGGGCTTGCCGCCAGCCTTCGCCTCCGAAACCAAGTCCTTCATTGTATCGCCCTGCAGGTCGCCTGTGTGTTTGCGGTGGTTGCATGTTGCGGTTTGGGGTTGTTTGGGGTCGCCGTGGACAGATCACGGTGAGGGGGGGCAGAGAGAGAGGGGGGGAGTAAAATTCGATTTGGAGACAAAAGCTTTGTGCTATGTGCTATGGAGGCATTTCGCCATGGCCATGTTTAATTACCCCCCTTCGTTTCCCCCTCCCTACCACCCACCCCACCCCACCTTGCAAAACCCGCCTCTGGGCCCCCCTTTCCACTTTCTTCTGTATTCGCAACGGGACGATTTCTTCTTGCGCCAGCTTAGCATAAAGAATATTCTATACATACCCACCTGCCACCATCGTACCTATGCAAAGCCACTATACCTTCGCCGCGTTTGCCATCCTCCCCCCCTCCCTCTCTTCCTCCCTCCCCGGCAGGCAGTCGCTCGTACCGATGACGTGCTCCTCCCGAATGGCGCTGCCAAAGGTCTCCGGGAGCTCCGTGAGGGCCTTGATGACACACGGGTTATACCCCGCTACGGCCTGGCGACCGAACTCCTCATCGGAATGCCAGGCGTTAGGGCGGCTATCTAGCACGCGGGGAATCTGTGTGTGTGTGTCGGGGAAAGGGAAGGAGGAGGAGAATGGAAAAGAGGGTGAGTGAGAGAGAGAGTGAGTGAGTGAGTGAGAGAGTGAGTGAGTGAGTGAGTGAGAGAGTGAGTGTTAAGGGAGCGGCCCGAGGGTGAAGGACTGAAGATGGACGACTTCCCGACAGGACAGAAAGCGTTGTGTATGTGTGGCGGGGGTATATTTGTGTATATGTATATATGTGTCTGTGTGTGCTCGTATGATAACGGCGGCCGTCTAGTATGAGATATATGTACGGTGTACGAGAGGCATATGTGTGTGACATGTAAGCTTACGGACCCTAGCTCGGGCTGCTTCCTTTCCGAGGCACCGCACCTATCCGTGTGTTCCAAAGAACAGATTTGTAAACACGAGATATGTGGCGAATGAATGTCTGTATGCCTCTGTGAGAACAGTGCATGTATGTAAGTATGTACGTAGCCTGGGCTATAACTTGTATGTCCGCGGGGTTATCAGGAAATGCCGCCCTCCCGCCAACAGCGCATGCGAGCCCGTACTAGCATCCCCCCAGCCGAACACGGGCAGCCAACACAACATACCGTAGCGGAACTAAAGATTTTACAAAATAAATAATTATTTGCATGCGGTAAAATATTTTGGCAAAATTCAGAGTCTTACCGTAAAATCTTTAGTTCCCGGGAGGGAATTCGGAGCGATGCGGTAAAATATATATGGCCCTTCGCGCACAGCAAGCTTTTGGCGCTAGATCTTATTCTATTTTACACATAATATTGTAACATAATAATATATTAACCTATTTCTGGCAGCAGCATGGGCAAGCGCAAGCTCAGCAAACATCGCTTCATTGACAAGCTGCCGGCCATACCGGCGGCTTTTGCCAGCGAAGTGCAGTTCTCAGCACCTAAGGCAATTACGAACACGTTTTACTGACTTAGTGTCAATGCCTCCTCGTGACCGCTATTTGGTCAGTTTCGCTGCATAACCATTGCGGTTGCAGCCCTTGCGGTGGTTGTTATAGCTAAGGGCTTATTTTGTTGGGGAGTAGGGAGTAGGCATTTGAGAGATGACATATCTAAGTTCTTACAAGCTGGTTGGTGTCGCCGGGCGTGAAGTGGCTGTATTTAGATGGTTACGATGGCCCTTTCTTGGAGCGTCGTGAAATGCTCTCGCGTCCTTCATCAATCATAAGAATTCTGCGGCTGGTACAGAATGGTGGATGTTTGGAGGCCTTGTCACGGTGGCTTGGCTTTCAGATGGGGGTTTACAATTTGGAGTTTCTTAATTTGAGACGTGTTGTGATGATTCTCATTTCCCCTCATGCGTGAGAGGGAGGCGGGCAGTGGTGTTGCATGGTGGGGTAGCTTTGCGGGCCGGTAAAATCCCAGGAAATCATCCACAGTACCGTAAAATCTTGGCAAAATCCACCAGCATGCGGTAAAATACTTCGTTCCGTAAAATATATTAAAATCCATAATTTTGCGGTAAAATCTTTATTTTGTAAAATCTTTAGTTCCGCTACGGTAGCAGCAGATGCCAGTTGGATACATTACAAGTTTACATCTTGCAAAACACTTGCATAAACACATACACACATGCACGCACGTCGTGTACACGTTCCCACGTATACGTTACAAACCGTGATTGTGTGGTGCATATTAATACATCTCACATTGAAGTTGAAAAGGTTGTTAACGCTTGGCGTGTTGCCAGTCAGGAAGTCCCAGAGCTTGGACCCGACTCGTTCCTTCTTCCCGCTCGCACCGGGCTTGGAGTCCTCGGTGAAGGCGCTGCGCCCAGCAGGGGTGCCGGTGGCGGATCCGTACAGAGGGCCCACCTGGCCAGGCAGCAAAGGATAGTTTGGGGAAAGGGATGGATTAGTTTCTGACTTTGGGCCTGGGGCCTTCACATAGCCCACCTGGATGGGGACCTGGGGACTCAGGTGGGATTAAGGGGGGAGGAGGGGGTTGCATGGGAGCTTGTGGAGGGGGGAGTGTGTTTGGGGGGGGGGGAGCTGGGGAGTTACGGAAGCGGTTTAGGGGTTGGGGTTGTAGGAGTAAGTGGAATGAGGGGGCGAGAGCATGCGACAAGCACACAGAAGCATGCACACACAACGGCCTTAGTGTACTGCAATTTCAGATACATGAGGCAGCTTAGACAGCCCATCCTCTGCTGCACCTGAACCCCCTTAATGTCTCACCCTCTCCTCGGTTGTCAGGTTATCCAGCTGGACCGCGTCCTTCTTCTTCAACTCGAAATCCCAGGTACCTGACGTGGTGTGCGCGGGCGTGTGTAGTTGTACGTGTTTGGATAATACATCGATGAGAACACAGGTGTTCGGGGGAAAGGAAACTACTTGGGGTAGTAGTTGGCCATAATGCTTTCCTGTTTTCCCAATCTCTCGACCGACGAAATGGCGCCAGTCAGCTTTTTTTGGCAAACCCTTCGGGATGGGGGCGCCATTTCCCTATCGGGGAAGATATTTAGTCAAACTGCAGAAAGCAGCAAAAGCTTAATATTTCTCAAGTTATATTACTGCGTTGCCACTTAAGATAAGCAGCGCTGCTGGATTGGGGGTGGGGTGGAGTAGGGATTTCGGTCCCATCCGGCGGCCGAGAACCAGAAACTTGACCGCAATGGTGCAGTAACCGCCGGTCTGTTTGTCACCAGTAACCACCAACAGAATCACCAGAGGCTTACCACCACCAGCTACCTTACATTTGACTTTCAGCTGGGGAGGAGACCGGGAAGTGCTCAGGCCTTGGTCAGATATTCACTTTCTGGGTGCTCGTAATTACACAGAATGACGGCCCTTACGTTACCCTTGTAGTGCGAGGCATGTACAACACATCTCCCATGTACAAGAAGCCGCTAAAGGCGCTAAAGACGTGCAAGGCAATTTGCGAGGCTTACCGTCAGCCGATCTGAACGATGACGCCTTTCTGACCTTTCTAGTCGCGCCAGGATTAGCAGTGACCTCGGGGTACAGTTTTGTGGGTAGCAGGGCCTCGAAAGAGCTGCTAGCCTGCAAGAGGGAACGGGGGGCGGGGGCGGGGGCGGGGGGGAAGAGGTAAGTTAGGCACGTCGGAGGACGGCACGGATTGGGAGCGGCGCGGCGAGGTGAGACACAGGTAGAAAAGCTTCTTGGGGACATAGACGAGCTGCATTCCTAGCTCCCTATATGTACAACATCACACAAAGCTGTACGACATCCTAAGATACCGTACCTTTTTGTACATTGCAATAACATCCTCGAAGTCCTCAAAATAGTCCAAGGGGGGGCTGAACAAACGAAGAATCTTGGCGATAATTGTCCTAATGATTCCGATGGTTAAGCTGGGCAGTAGGGTGATGGGTGCGCGATCTTTGACGTCGGCGGCTTCCTGTTATCGAGCATGGAAGATTGGGGAGGGAAGTGGGCAGGGAGGGAAAAGTGGCTGGGCAGTGGTGCCGCAGGGAGTTCTAGGCGATTAATAACCCCAGGCACGCCCACTAAAATATTTATCAATTAAGTATTTTTTTCTTCTTTTCTTTTTACCTTTTACTTTTAGCTTGGGAGCCCCCTCGGAGGTACCGGAGCCCGCCCGCCTCCCCGCCCACCTGGGGATAAACCCTCCCCGCCTCCCGGGTGAAGGTGACGTACCGATTTTGTATCAACCCCATGGACATGTAGCCACAATATTTCTCGTATGTTTGTTTGTGTAGGTTTGTGCGTCTTTTAACCTAGGATAGGATCCAGTGGACATTCTTATCATCCTCGTTAGTTCTAGTCGCCCACCACCTCGTCACGCCTCTCCACTACAGCTCCGCACTCTAAAACGGACGCTCAATTTCACGCTTTTCTGTTCAACATCTTCTTGGAATACTCAAGCTTAGTCGACACTATTTACGGAAAAATAGCTGACATTCCGCTGGACTACGGAGCTAACATCAGTGCAGTTAATCTTTGGCCTGTTCTCTGCCTGTACCGCGGCTCAGATTGATCAAAAAACAAAGCGGCTAAGCTGTGCAATGGCCAAAGTCTTGTGGCGCTTGTTGCGCTTACCGCGATTACTGTGAACGCGGCTGTTGCGACTCCAAGCTGAGATCCTGCATTAAATTCTTGAGCCTTCTCATTTCCAAAACGGTCGTCTGCATGGCGGGGAAAGCGTGGGGGGGGAACTCCATTCCGAAACACCGGCCCAAGGAACAAGCCTAGCAAGCCAGCAAGCCAAGTCATTATAGTTGGCGCGAACCTCTAGGCCGGCTACTTCAACGGATTTTAGCAAATCATCCACCTACACACATACATACATACATATGTACATACATATATATACACACATATATATACATACATGCACATGCATGTAAAAAGCGGGCCTGGGCCCGTGCCAATTTTTCTGCCTTTATGGTAAAGTTGTGTGTGGTTGTTACAGTGGGCTCCAGACTCCCGAAGAGTAGAGCCATCGGGCCAGCTGGCCGTGCACTGCAGTAGAGACTAATATACCAAAAGATTATCATCTCAGATAATTAACCTCTCATCGGTAACCGCTCTCGCGAACAAATCAATTTGCCAGATATAATCCTCAAAAAGGGGTGATGTGCGCCAACGGATTCCCAACCTTTTCGTGGAATTCCTAAAGCTGCGAAACCCTGAATGCGGCCCCAAAAATCAACAATAACTCGACAAATTGCTTCTTCCGTAAGGGAAGGACCAGGTAACAGTGCCGGGTTGGTTTTCATGTTTGCAGCCATATAACGTCTCCCATGCTCCATGGCTGACACCGCAGCAAGAGCCACAACATCCCAAACACATTGTTGCACTGATTGTGGGGCTTGGATAAGCCAAAGTTGCTCCCTTGAGACTGGCAATCCTATTGAAAGAGTAAGTTGGTCTGCTATTGCCTGTGCCACCGGACAGGCCCAGAAATGATGATAGCGAGGGGATACACCTCCCACTGAACCTATTGGATAACCTCCACAACCACATATCGTTGGGCGCGACATCCTAAGATGGGAATTTCCTAACATAGGCACCCCATCAACCGCAAGACGCCACCAAATCTCTTTTTGTTCATTTTCCCACCGTAAATGAAACCATAAACGATGGAATGTCCGTTGCAAAAGAAGAATAGCTTCATCCAATATCTCAGAAGAACCCGTCGCCTCTTTGATGAAAAGGGTATGGGCCACACGGCGAGCCATCGAAAAAGGTGAAAGTTGCATATTAGTCGCTATTTTAACGGATAAATGTTGGAATCGGATTGGAGGCCCTACACCCCATCTCCAACCAAGCCTCGACACTAGGGTTTGAGTAACCGACTCAATAGGGGGCACCATCGCTTCCCTAGATTCTACACTCAGCGGCAACAAAAGACTAGCCGCCTGTCTCCAATTCGCTGGAATATCATCTAGAAGAGCGGCAATAGCATCCATACATTCCTGCCATTTACGATAGGTGCACAGGGATTTAGCTAGAGGGGTTTGCGGTTGGAGGTATTTATCCACTATTTGATGCCAAGCCTTGCGTATTGCTAGGCCTGCTTGGTCCGTTGCATTCATAACTCCATCCAAGGCCTCTCGCGCGCAAAGAACATCTCCCAACGTATGCAATGCTTTACAGCCCAGGAGGGCTTGATGACGAAATTCTAGTCCCGGGCGGATGTTATCTAACTGGACATTCAATTTTTTTCTGGAAGAACAGGGTTTCCCCACAATGGCAAATTCCAACACCACGCATTAGGTACTAACGGGTGGTCATCAACATCTTCCACTGGGGGAAGGTATGCCAACGCTGTCACAATGCGCTGAACATCTGGCGGTAAAACGATTAATCCAAACCAAGGCACTCCCACCTGGGACGTAAAAATACACATAGGATTATATTTGGGGTAAAGGCTATGTAGGAAAGAGTGCATGACCATCACCCAAGGCGGACGCACTAAGACTGGTTGGAGTAATGCTCTCACAAAACGCACTGCCCAGCATGCCCATCGCGCTTGTACATGTTGTCGTACTGCTAATGCCCCAAAACCGCCCAAAGTTGGATGTCCATATAACAAATATTTAGGAACCCCGGTGAGTCGTCTTTCTTGTGCGACCGGTCCGAGGTTCCTATCAATAAGCTTGGCCGCTTTAGCCTCAATATTCATGAGTTGAGCTTCTGGGGGAAACCCCCCGTGTTCCATATGCCACGTAAAACGATGCAGCCCATATGCAGCCGCTGCATGTGCACGCCCAAAAATGGAAAGATTTAACACCGAAATGCGTCGAAACCGAGCCCAGACTTTGTCTAGTTGCACATCCCAGTCCCTGCCTGTGGTTTCTCCCACATCCGTAAAAGGTAGATTGAGAGCCGTAGCCATATGTACGACCTTCATGTCATGATTTATTGTTATATGATGTGGGTGGGTGCCGAGAGGTAACAGCTCAACCTTATCCAGGTTAAGTTGCTGTCCAGAAGCCTGTGCGTACACCCTCATACATTCAAGGAAAGCCGGAATTGCTTGGATTCCTTCTAAAACAACTTCCGTGTCATCAGCAAATTGCACACCTGTAAAGTTAGAATCTATAAAATATATACCGGTGCTATCCCTTTTCCCCCCCCGCCAAACACACATACACTCCCATCCACACGCACACACGTACCAAGCGGCAACCATATTTCCTCGCCCGGAGGCGGTGGAACCTCGCGGTCCTCCACGTTACCGCGGTTGGTGGCAATACGGCGGGGGTACGGCAGATCCTTGGTATGTCCCAGATTGGGGCGAATAAGAGCGCCGGTGCTGAGGTCGTTGTACGTCTGTACGTATACATGTAGGTGTGCGGGTGCATGTATGTCTGTATGTATGTCATTAAAGCATGTGCAGTTCTACAGCACATCTATGCGTGAGGCAGTGATAGAGGGGTTTATTTAGCTTAGTACTTAATTAAGCAACCTACAGCTTTTTCCCGGCTACCCTGCCTTGGCCTCCATGTGTCGGCCGTGTTTATGTGTGGATGAGGCAAAGGCCTGATTAAGACATATACGACCAAAGTCAACATAATATTAAGCAATCTATAATTAAGCGCTTGTACATGAGCACTCTTATGTGGCAAACCGACCCATCTGGCTGGCGCTGTCCCACCCGCCAATTTACGGACATACTACCCAACCAACTGCTCAACAGCCAACCAAACCAACCAACCAACCTGGTACCAGTAGATGCGGTCGGTCTCCTTCCGCTTATCATCACGGCTTCCGTATGTGCCCTAAACACAATGAATGGTCCACGAAGGGGGAAGCGAGGTGGAGGAGGAGGAGGTGGGAGCAGGGGACAGAAGAGACTGGGCAGCCCCCCGGGAGCCCAAAGTAAAGAAGAAGTCAACAACAAGGGTAGAGAGCGAGGCTACCCTTTCCCACTATGTATAAGCCCCCTCCCCTTCACCCACCCGCAGCGCCTCCAGGTCGATGTCGCGCTCCGACTTCATGCCCGCTGGGGTGTCCTTGAGCAGGTAGGCAGTTCCAGAGAAAAACACACGTTCACCGTGATCTGAACAAATCCAGCTGCTGACGGGAAACGTGTGCTTGGAAGTGGCACTGGAGTTGCAAGACGGAGAAATCAGAACAAAGGGGGGAAAACGGGGCCGGGTGTGTGTGTGAGGAGTAACGGCGGGTGAGGTACGACTATGCGCCGTGTGTTTGCGCGTCTGCGATTGCTCTTTTCTCAGTGAAGGATTTTCCCTTGCATGGTAATGTACTACATCTATATGTATGTATGTATGTATGTATGCATGTATGTATGTGAGCTTTTCATCCTTCCATGCTGTGCTCTATGTATCCGTAGGCAACGAGCGAGCGTTATTACGCTCTGTTATCATCTTTCAGCATGGCGGCCATATTTAGGTGCACGTGCATCTTTCAGTCATTCGGGGTCAGGATGTGGATGAGGGTGAAATGGAAATCTTGGTCGTTGCCAGATCAGGCGGGTTTTCGAAAGGATGCATGCTCTTGCATGATTACATGATGGTTGGGCGAGGTGGCTTGAATTTGACTGGAGCAAAACGCAAGCATTGCTATACGATGCGCAACAGTCATCCTAAGTACAGGAAAGCACAGATGGGCACGTGCCGAGAGGGGGAAGGCTGAAAAATGGTGATTTCAAACAACATAATCAATTTGATCTGCTATCTATCGAAAAGCTCCTACCAGATGAGTTCGAAGGAGGTAATGTAATCCCGCGCGGAGTCGCCGTTCTCGACAGGCTCTTTGCGAATTAGTACAGCCCCTGGAGACTTGATGTTTTTTGGCAGGAGAATCGCGCCCTCGCGTTTCCAGCCATTGCTGCCATCGTCCCTTGGTAGGGACCAAGCCCAGTCGTCGACATCAAATTCAGGACTTTTTATCCCGCTATTTGCATCGATAACGATAAGTTTAAGCCGCGCGCCGGAGTCCCTGCGTATCAGTAAGTTGAAAGAAGATGTTGAACGCGGAGTTGATCCCGGTAAGGTCAGGCGTCAAGGAGGGTATGCCGCCATCCCCAGGAAAAGACATGATAATTTGGAGTGCAAAACAATCTATCTACCTACCCAAGCAGCGGTAATGTCGAATGTATGTGCCACTTCCACTCCACGCTATCGGCAGACGAGGCACCTTGGGCCTTGGCGGCGTAGACACGCATGTTTCTTGTGCGCTCGTTCAGCTTTGCTGATTCTGCAGTGACATGATTCTGAGAACTCAACTGGTAGGGAGTTCCATGTGGGGTTGTAAGCAGGGGTGTCGGAGTGTTGTTCTTGCGGAGCCGCATCAGCGACCCGCTGCTCGAAGAAGCAGCGCTCTGCGTCTTGCGCTTGGAGACCGAGTCACCAGCTCTTAAGCTCCTTAGATCCATTTGTGCAAGTTAGTCGCCTAATACCGGAAACGGAAACGGTACACGGAAACACTATGACCGACGCCTCCGATATCAAAGCACTGTCGCGTATGCGCAACCTAAATAACAGTCAGTATCACGATGCAACAAACTTTTAAATTTATAACCTGTTTCTGCTCGTACCTAACTGCTGCGTTCGCTTGACGAACGAACGAGTGGGCACTGCAGCTGGTACCCTCCGTCCGGGGATGCTGTAAGGGATTTGTGTTCGTTACCGAGTACGTATGGTTTGTCTTTGATCGGTACGACTCTGTGTCGTGCAAGGCTTTGCCAGACTATTTAAGGCATTCCTACACCATTATTTGTAAGCTTAGTATTCTTCTCTTCCTTGTCTCTCAGTCAGCGATTGATGTCGGACTCTGCAGATCGGGCAAGTTAGGAACTAATGCTTCCTCCAGTCGCCAACTGGAGCCAGTTCCTTTCATATGGTATCGAGTTATGGTTCAATCCTGCCTCGGTCCGTATTGGAGCTGTTTTCCCATCGTCACTGCTTTTGCACTTCGCGCCACCGCACGATCGTTTGTTTGCCGGCCGAGCCGGAGAATGTCAAGATTGAGTTTACGCGGTGTCATGGTTAATTGGCGGTTCTTGGGTTCCCGCCCCGCTTCGTGCCAGGTTCTGGCCAGCTGCAGCTGGCCAGCTGGCCTTCTGCAGAAGCCAGCAACGGGCATGCTCGTCACTTGGCGAATTGTAACATACAATCCTTATCGTTCTCATACTACAGCTCCTTTAGCCTGATGCTTTGTGCCTAACAGGGCGCGCTCTTACACTGACTTATTCCCGCCAGCTCACCGTGCCAGTCAAGAAGTAAGGTCGCCCTTTCTTGAGGACATGCGTCTACAACATGCATCCACTTTTATAAAAACCTATGCATCGACTTGTAGGGCGTCTTTCAATATGAAATCTAGGGGCTTTATGCGGAACGAATTAGGCGAGACAAGCGGAAATCACTACAAGACGTACCTGTACCTTTCCGTCGCCTTTCTGGTTGACCATCTCAAGCATTTGGAGGGTTTCGTGTTGTAATGGGACATGTAATGTTTAAGCAGCCCCTCGCACAATCGTGTCCGGTCGTACTGTGCCGAATAAACCCTTCGTACAAGACGCTCAAAGGCAGGCGCGAATTTTACCGCGCGGAGTTAGTTAACGAGCGTCTGAAACGCGTGTGAGACCATGTCGTAACTTCGGAGCTAGGACTTAAGTGTACGACGAGTAAGGGTGTGGCGCGCTAGCCAGACTATTTAAGCGGAACACTAGGTAGCTCGGAAACACCTACTGGTTTCCCTGGAAAGGATAGGCCGTTTCCAAGGGAAAAGACCCTTTTCACGGAAACGCGCTTTCCGTACATTCCGATCTTCCCGTTCTTTCAGCTGATCGGTCTTCTTACTTGTGTAAACTTTGAAAACATATCTAGGGTTCATTTCCCTTCGATATCTGTTAACAATGGCGATCCGCTTTATCGAGGAGCTGATTCATCTTACCCAAGGCATTCCAGAAATCCACAACTGGAGCCTAGCAACCTTCTACTCAGTATTGGTCGCAATTATGTCCCTACTTGCATTCCTGAAGCCGAACATCAAGAAAGCCAACTCGGACGGCCGCACCGCCGCACTTCCTGTCATAGCGACCGCGACTGGAACTAGTGTTAGCGCCGTTACAAAGCTGTTTGAATCATTGAATGTGTCGGTTGAGGGTCACGGTGGCCCTCGGTGGCCCATGTCCCGCGCGGGGGCTATGACCCCCTGTGCAGGTGGCTCCTGTCCATTCTATTGGTGCGTTGTTGACGTGTGCTAGCAAATAATAATCAGTTGTAGCGAGTAGTTGTAGGGAAGGGAACTCAATTGCAAAGTTGACGATGGTGCGATGACGACCATCGTCAGACGATGGCGATGGCAGACGAAGGCGACGACGATGAAGAGCTCGGCGAGGAGGATCACCTAGGCTCTGATACCAATTGAAAGGGAACCAGGCCGCTCCTAACAACTGGGAAACCCTAAGCTGACTTTACTGGCCGATATACTTGCGTAAGCACAGAAGATCGGGCTTTCAATTTCAACTTAGACTTACAATGTTCATGACATGGTCCGCCTAAATAGTCATGGGTATTCCATGGATACTAAGTCAATAGGAGATGCTCGAAAAGCAGTTTCCAAAAATTGTTGGCTTCAAATTTGATGTGAAAAGAGTTTTCCGTACTACGAGGGCTTTTCCGTAGAAAGGGCATTTCCCTGGAAACAGATAGGTGTTTCCGAGCAATGCAAATTATGATCATTGTAAGACTAAGTTGAGATTGAAAATCCCGATTCTCTGTGCATACGCCAGTTTCTCGGCAAGTGAAGTCAGCTTAAGCTGCCCAATTGCTAGGAGCGGTCTGCTTCCCTTTCGGTACATAGGTTATCTTAAGAGCTTTTCCGCTATGCTGGAAGCTCCGTTACGTAGTACGATGTAAGCAACCTATGGTCCACAGAGTCGGGTTCGATTAACCACTTCGCATAGCAATATAGCAATATAGCAATATAGCAACCATATAGCCACAATCACAACTTGCAGACTCAACATCATAACAATGACCGAACCGGGTTAACCCGGTCGGTCTATTTACCTTCAATAACTTTTCTGAGAACAGAGACATCAAAATGGCTCGCAACAGTTCAACGGATCAGGCCGCCGGTGTGACGGCGGAACGATCTGAAGCAACCATATCAATTTCCCTTCTTAGGGAAATTACGAAGATGGAGCAACCTTTTGGCAAACTTCGATCGCTGGCAATGAGAGCAATCTTTCAAGGAAACTACCTAGAGAACAGAAAGCAGGTAATAGACATTATGGCAGGACCGATTGGACACCGAATAGTGCAGACAGTACAACAGGAGCTAAAAGCTCCTTATGTTTTCGTCGGAGAACCGGTCGCTTGGGAAGCTCGCAACGACGAAGGAGTCGTTGGACAGATCAACGTCTACGTACCGGAGGAGTGGATTACGCCCGTAAAAAACTTAGCGGACCATTGCGGACGAATCAATCTAGCAGATCTCCATCTAGGAGATTACCACATTCAAGATCTTGTAGTAGACATAGTGGGGGCATCTGCCCAATACTTCAGACTGACAGGATTACCTCCAGCATTTCCTCAGAAATGCCTATTCTGGCTTATTGCGGAAGCCTACGGCTTTGACGTAGATGAATATGGAAAGAAATGGGGGATAGTCGAAGCTAGTCTCACTACAGCCGTGGTGTGGGTGCGATGGGATCAGCCCGCATTACCCGCCAGGATGAAT